TTTAGTCGCCGAAAGAAAAATAAAAATTTACTTTTTATCTTTGGTGACCAAAATTTTGGTCGGCAAAAATGTAATTTCAGCGACTAAAAAATATTTTAGTCGCTGTATAGATAGTTTTGGCAACTAAAATAATTTAGTCGCCGAAAGAAAAATAAAAATTTACTTTTTATCTTTGGCGACCAAAATTTTGGTCGGCAAAAATTTAATTTCAGCGACTAAAAAATATTTTAATCGCGGTATAGATAGTTTTGGCAACTAAAATAAATTAGTCGCTGAAAGAAAAATAAAAATTTACTTTTTTATCTTTGGCGACTACAATTTTGGTCGGCAAAAATTTAATTTCAGCGATTAAAAAATATTTTAGTTGCTGTGTAGATAGTTTTGGCAACTATAATAATTTTGTCGCTGAATGAAAAATAAAAAATTACTTTCACTCATCACTCTTTCTCTCTCTTTCTGTCTGTCTGTCTGTCTCTCTCTATCTCTGTCTTTCTTATCTTTCTCTCTCTCTCTCACTCATCACTCTTCTCTGTCTGTCTGTCTCTCTCTTTCTCTCTGTGTCTCCAAAATTTGTCTCTGTCTCTCTTCTCTTTCTCTCTCTCACTCATCACTCTTCTCTGTCTGTCTGTCTGTCTCTCTATGTCTCTTGCTCATCTCTCTTCTCTCTGTCTCTCTTATCTCTCTTTGTCTCTCTTCTCTTTATCTCTCTCGCTCTCTCGCTCATCTCTCCCTCTATCTCTCTCGTTTTTCTCTTTTCACTTTTTTTCTCTTTCTCTCTTTGTCTGTCTCTTTTCACTCATTTTTTCATCTTTCTCTCTCTATTCTCTTTCTCTCTCTTACTTATCACTCTTCTCTCTCTATCTGTCTGTCTATCTGTCTGTTTCTCTCTGTGTCTCTCACTCATCTATCTCTTCTCTCTATCTCTCTTGCTCATCTCTTTTCTTTCGCTTTCTCTCATCTCTCTTTTCTTTCTATCTCTCTTTTCTTTCTATCTCTCTTGCTCATCTCTCTTTTCTTTGTCTCTATCTCTCTCTCTATTTCTCTCGTTCATCTCTCTTCTCTTTATCTCTCTCTCTCGGTCTCTCTCGGTCTCTCTCGTTCATCTCTCCTCTCTCTCTGTCTCTTTTTTTGTCTCTCACCCTCTATCTCTTTCTCTTTCTCTCTCTCTTCTTTTTCTCTCTCTCACTCATCACTCTTCTCTGTCTGTCTGTCTGTCTTTGTCTCTGTCTCTTGCCCATCTCTCTTCTCTCTATCTTTCTTATTTTTTTTTCTTTCTCTAACTCTCTCATTCATCTCTCTTCTCTCTATCTCTCTCCCTGTCTCTCCTGCTCATCTTTCTTCTTTCTTTATCTTTCTCTTTTTCTATGTCTTTCTCTCGATCATCTCTTTTCGCTCTCTTTCTCTCTCTCTCTCTTTGTCTATCTCTCACTCATCTCTTGTTTCTCTCTGTCTCTGTCTCTATCTCTTTCTCTCTCTCTCTCTATCTCTTTCTCTCTATGTCTCTCTCTCACTCATCACTCTTCTCTCTCTATGTTTGTCTGTCTGTCTCTCACTTTTCTCTCTCTCTTTCTCTCTGTGTGTCTGTCTGTCTGTCTGTCTCCCCTATTGTGTTCACTTTGCTCACTCTCTCCTTTCTGTCTTCTCTATTTACCGAGCTTTTCACTACAAGAAAATGCACTTTTAGTGACCACTTTGTCTCTCTCTCACTTATCACTCTGTCTCTGACTCTCTCTCTTACTCATCTCTCTCTCACCACCCATCTTCTCTACCACATTCACTACTACTGCAAATGTCATTCCACTACCAGCATTATTACCATTGTTGCCACTCTACCTCTACGACTACCATTACTACCACCATCATTACGACTCCACTACCACCACTACTACTACTATTACCTCTCCTCTACCACTACCACAACTTCACTACTAATCTTCTTCGCCATTACCATGATCATCTATTTTCACTCTCTTTCTTTCTCTCTTTGTCTATCTCTCACTCATCTCTTGTTTCTCTCTGTCCCTCTCTTTCTCTCTCTCTATCTCTTTCTCTCTCTGTCTCTCTCTCATTCATCGCTCTTCTCTCTCTCTATGTCTGTTTATCTGTCTCTCACTTTTCTATCTCTCTCTCTCTCTCTCTCTGTGTCTGTCCGTCTGTCTGTCTCTCTCCTTCATTGTGTTCACCTTGCTCACTCTCTCCCTCCCCTCTTCCCTATTTACCGGGCTCTTCAGTACAAGAAAATACACTTTTAGCGACCACTTTATCTCTCTCTCTCGCTCATCACTCTGCCTCTGTCTTTGTCTTTCTCTATCTCTCTTCTCTATTTGTTTCTCACTCATCTCTCTCTCACCACCCATCTCCTCTACCACATTTACTACTACTGCAAATGTCATTCCACTACCAACATTATTACCATTGTTGCCACTCCACCTCTACGACTGCCATTACTACCATCGTCGTTACCACTACCACCACTACTACTACTATTACCTCTCCTCTACTACCGCCACTCCATCTCTCCTACCACTACCACAACTTCACCACTAATCTCCTTTGCCACCACCACCACCACCACCATCACCTCTTATCCACCACCTTTACCACTACTGTCGCTCCCTCTCCTCTACCATAAAAAATTAGTTCTTGATTTTTAGTAACCAAAAAAAAATGGGCCTCAAAAAAATATTTTTCATTAAAATATTACCCCTACTCCTACCAAATAGAAAAAAAAAATTCATTTAAATAAAAATGAAACAAAATTTCCCCCTTTTTTCACTGACTCGCCCGCCCAAACTTAATTTCCCCCATTTTTTCCCTCTGTCTTTCCTCCCATTTTTTTTATTTCCTTTCAAGTTTGCAGAGCCCTAAGTTTCGAAACTCTCTCTCTCTCTCTCTCTCTCACAAAGGCGAGCGACGAGCGGCGAATTTTGGTTTGGACGAGCGACCAACAGGACCATGATTCTCGACAAGGGTCAGCTACTCAAGACCGAGCAAATGTTCCGTGACGCCGGTGAGCAGTGGCCTGTTATTATTCCCGAGGAGGAGATTCGCCAAGCAGCCCCTAGTACTAAGGTAACAGTTTCACTCTCAAACTAGCCGCATTTTCTCCTTCTTTTGAGGACCCATCACTGTGATTATTGCGTGCTTGGCCCTTGAAAGGTCTACCATATGTCCCTTGAACTATACTCATTACATCAGAAGCATCATTTTCCTTTTCTGAGATACATTTCTGAGACTCATCTGAAACTGATTCACTAGCTTGGTCTTTTGAATCAATCACTTGACTGCTTCTATCGGCCCTGGCTTTTTTCGTCGAAGCGTCAAAACTTCAGTTTTGGTTTCTACATCCCCAGCAACTGTGTGAACATCATCACTAATAGACAAGGAAAAAATGAGAAAAATATAAGTAATTAGGGCCAATAACGACAATAATAATTAAGTAATTGTGGGAATTTTCTTATGCAAAAGAGAAATAAACAAACTAAATGGGACAAATTTTTTTTTTTTTTTTGATAAATAAGCAAACTAAATGGGGCAATTGACACTCTACATGTATAAAGGCAACAAATTGAAGGAATTTCAAGCCTCCCAACAAACCAAGATAAATGAATGAGAAGGTCAATATTGTTTGGTAGGCCATAAAAACATGATAACACAGTTCATCTTTGTTGATATCATACAATTTTGACATTGATGACCCACAGAACCTTGTTCTTTTTTTGGATTCAATTATTTGGATTCCCAACAGGTGAAATTACTACTAAACCTTTGACAGTCTAAACCAGGGTAGTTCACTGTCATGACAACTAGTTTCCAGAATTAATAGTTGTGCTGCATCATGCATGCCATTTATGATCAAATCTTGTCATAGTTGTGGCATGGTTCCTACAAGTACAATTAGCGAAACATCTCATGCAGCAACAGTCCAGATTTTTTAGCTTCCCAAATATTACTCAGTTGGGTTGAAACACCATAGGAAATCACAGAAACACCAAAGAAGCCTAATTCCTATAGTCAGGTTCAATGATTCATTCTCTTATTTAGATGTTCTTCATAGCTTGCAATCGTAGCTACACAATTGTACATTTGAACTCTTTGGTTTAGTTGAATGGATTCACCGTAGATGCTTGTTTGGCTTGTTTAGTTACTTTTTCTTGGATAGGCTCAGGTATTGTTTTGGGCATAATTCATCTTTGTTTGTGTATGATTTGATGGTTTGCTTCAGGAAAAGTTTCTTTATAATGGGGCTTTTGGAGTAAAACTATGATTTATGATCTCAAGATTTATAACTTGCATATGAATTGTCTGATAAGCCTTTTATGTATTTAATTTGCAATCTAATTGTCTGAATCTAGACTACCAAAATTGCAATTTATGATACAAGGCAAATAATCCTCGAACTCTGTTTCATGCTTTTTGTTCATATGCTTTTGGACCACAAAATTTTCATCATTAAAATTTTCAACACTCTCAATTATTGTGTTCACATTCAACTAGTAGTGTCTTAACATCAAATCAAGCTACTCGTCATTAGTGAGTATTCTGTGTTGTGTCACATAACCTTGAGAACTGTTCTTATTTGATCTTTGTTGATTGTTGCCTCATAACTCTTGCAAACGCATTCATCAAATTTTTTTTTTATGCTACTGTTATCATCCTCAAGATAGTTACCTCTCATCCCTACGAACATCATTGTTCAAGTTATTTTCATTTCTTTACACATTCTTCCTCTGACGCACAAAAGATGTACTTCAGGCTGAACCGTGGTGTAAGCCTCTTGAGATTGTTAACTTTTGATGCCTGATCTGCTTTATTCATCTCCTGGAATCATTTTGTACTATGCAAGAAAGTGTGCATCTGTTTTGTTAATTTAGTAAATGAAAGATAAATAGGGATTTAATTATATTTTTCATAACTTGATGGAATGATTAGGCACGATTTCTATGTATAATTTTTGTTACTTCATGTAATCTATGCGAGTGCTGACATAGATACATTGGCAGCACAATGAAAAGTCTTCATCAGCTGGTTTAATTGGCAATGACAACACTGCATCTGTGCTGAAATCACTACCAAATTACAAATAAGAGTGATACACTTTATGTGGATGGATTTTATATTGCAAGGAATTGATACAGGGCCCCAAACTTTTGCTGTCTATAAAATCAGCCACTAGCCAGTCTCTTTGAGATGCATATCCTTGCATATCCTATCTTAACTTCATGCTTGATTCTCTGCTGTATTGGTTTGGTTTTTAACCTTTTATGGTTGATAAGCTGCTAATACTGTTTCAAATCATCAGGAAAATGTGAAGACAAAACATCCTCAGTTACTTTACGAATCAAAGTTATACAGAATTCTACAGGGAGGAAGTAATGACTGTTTTTATTAATTTATTATTTTAGTGGGACAATTGATCTGTTATGAGCTCTTTTGCTCATATATTTGATACTCTTTTCTGTTTATAACACTTCTGAAATATTACAGCTGGAATTTCGCATGTGAGATGGTTTGGAGTGGAGGGAGACTACAATGTTCTAGTGATGGATTTGCTTAGACCCAGTGTTGAAGATTTGTTCAATTTTTGTAGTAGGAAACTTTCTTTAAAGACTATTCTTATGCTTGCAGATCAAATGGTAACTGCATTTGATTTAATGCATACAATTATTGCATTTAGATAATTCTAAGTCTATCAACATTTGTACCTGGTATTTATTTCAGATCAATCGAGTTGAGTCTGTCCATTCTAAATCCTTTTTACATCGGGATATCAAGCCAGACAATTTTCTTATGGGCTTGGCAAGGCGTGTAACCCAGGTTCCCCGTCAAAACTTCCATCTTTGTGCTGGTTAAAAATTCCCCCCCCATATCTGTGTTTATTAGTCCTTTCATTTCTCTTTTTTTTAGGTCGACATCATTGACTTTGGTCTGGCTAAAAAATATAGAGACACTACGACCCACCAACACATTCCTTACAGGTGAGATGATTTTGATTAGTTTATTATTTAATGGACCCTAGTTGCCATCTATGCTCTCATGAACACATAAACACACTACACGTTAGCTCTGTTCTTTTTCAGATACTCTTTAGTTTATGTAGGGTCAACAATTGATATACGAATAAGTTTAGGAATACAAAAACCGATCACAAAATCGAACACAATATATGTGAATGGACAGTTTTTTCACAAACCAACTTTTTAAAAATCTTGTCTATTTATATGTATTATGTGTTTATTTCTGTCTGTAACACAGGAACAAGTCCAGAAACATAGGAACAAGTCCAGAAACACAGAAACCGATCACAAAATTTTATATAAGATTTTTTAAAAATGGGCTCTCCCAACTCTTAAAAATCTTATCCATATGTATTTTGTATTTGGTTTCTGTGTTGATAACAGAATTGAATAGAGAGAAAAAGATGAGAGAATTAGAATGAACTAAGACTTACCATAGTCTGTAGTTAGATGGTGTAGAGACCAAATGGTTGTGAAGTGGGTGATGCCTTTGTGCACATAAAAGAGACCTATGTATACATCTCTGTTATCACCCTAGTCTATTGACATTTTATTCAATAATTTATCTTTCTTTTTCTGTCTATGGACATTTTATTCTATAATTTATCTCTCTCTCTATAGAGATACAACTTTATCTACTTTTACCATATCCTTAATTTTGTGTTTTTTTTGCCTCTCAATCCATTCACGTCGCGAATTCCTAGGTTGAAGGAGCAGGAAAATCCAAAATACTACCTTTACAGGTCTTCATCAGCTGCCTAAGAAAAATTCCATAATCGAATTTAACAAGTTCTGTTTTTCATTTGAATATCCAATTCTTGCATTTTAATTCCACATGTGATTTCATTCCACTGATCAATTTCTTCAATTTTAGTTTTAGTTTTTGTTGGTTTCACATCTATCTCAACTCACTGACAGTATCGGCACATTAGATTCATTTCTATGTTTTCTTTTAGTTCTAGGGTTTTTTTTTTGGTTTCATTCACAATAGGACCTTGCTATCTGAGGATAAGTTAGAAAATCAGACATAAGAAAAAGAAAAATAAAAGAGAGAGAGAGAGAGAGAGAAGAAAGAAAGGATTTTGTATCTTTGTATGTTCGTATCTTCTTCACATTTTGAATTATGTAGTACAAGTACTTGAGTTACAAGTATTCCTGCAACTGTGCTTAGTACAAGTACTTTGTTATCCCTTTTATTCTCTATATAACCTTGCATGATCATCTATCTTAACAACACCATAGAATTAGTGAAACCATTGGCTTGACCTTTTTGATGAATATCCATAACATATTACTCTTATTTTACCTTGAAAGTAGTTTGTTAAGCCTTGGATTCCACATTAAAGGTTTCATGGGGTAGAGTAGGGAAAATTAGTGGCATTCTGGTTAAATTTTAGTTTAATTTGTTATTTAGCTGATTATGTGTTGTACTCATATGAGGCGTTCTTGTGTTCTAAAGCATGTAGCTCATCTGGATTTTGACACATCCACGTCTTTCTTTGGTGTTTATGATGGCCATTGAGGTAAGCAATATGAGCATACCTCTTTTCAATTCATTGCACTGTTTCTGTTTTATTTATATTGAGGTATTGAATTGAGTTCCATGGTTCGTTCTTAATTTTTTAGCACCTTCTTATTGTAAGGTTTTCTATTTTTTGTTGGCCAATTAACTTTTAGCATATTTCTTTAATGACCCTCAGTTGCTTAACCTGCAGTATCATTATTAGAAATTTAGAATGGGACATCAATTTGAAATTATTATGATCCTTATGTGCCAAGGTTTGAGGGTTTTATGACGATGCCAATTGTATCTTATAATAAAATATACTACTACATGCATGATACTTCCTTGAAGGAGTTTAAGTTGTCACACACAAACACAAAACAATTATTAGACACCATTGATTACTAACTTCTTGCATTATGCTATGCTTGTTATAGGATTTCCATGAATAGGATTGTAAAGTTGCTTTACTATTACTGTTATTTGGCATTTCAACCAATACTCCTTGTTGGTTCAATTGAGCTATATATATATATATTGTTGCTAACATTTTGTGGGGCACAAAATGCTTTGATGCCGCAGCTCAATGTGCCAAATTTCACTTATTTATCAACAAAAAAAAAAAAAGGAAGCCAAATTTCACATAGCTTATGTGAAAAATTGCTAATTTCATGAGGTCTAGGTGCATCTTTTATTCCATGTTGTAATATAAGGTTAGCGGAACTCAGTGCCGAAAGGCATGTACCACCATGACCTGTCCAAGAATTAGAGCAAGGAAGTTTCTTATTTGGATTTTCGTTTCCAACTTCTCACTGGTAACAGTTGTCCATGTGATATGTTTTCTGTCATTGACATACAAAGAAATGCTATTGCAGTACTTTCAAGTAATTCATAGGTGCAACTTGTAAAGCTTCCTACAAATGTAGTTCTTCTTCTTGAAGATCCCATGCATTAGATTTTTCTTCCTTTATTGCAATGTTAAGGGTGCCATCTGGCACTTTTTATGAAATATTTCTTCCTGCTAACTGCATGTATCTAATAACAACCTTAGGTGGTGTGACTTTCCTTACATAGTTTGGGGCAAGAGGTGAAGCAACTCTCTGACCTCAGGTTAAAAGACCCACATATTAGTCAATGGTAATGGGATTTAAATTGCTATGTGCCTCATCATTTTTTGCTTGTATTTTCTTTTAACTTAGAACACCATATTGTGTGGGGTAGAACCTGTAGATGTTTATTGCTGCTTAGCTACTTTAACTTTACGAATGCTTATGAGATATTTTTTTGAATATGTTGGTTCCTGCTACCATCCTCAGTCTTAAGATTGCATTTTCTCTCTTTGGAGTTGAGGCTTGATTTGATTAAGTCACAGCAAAAATAAAACTCTTTCTTGTAGGACTTGAGTGTCAATTTTGCCACCCAATAATGATGGTTGAGGCTCAGTTATTGATTTGTAGAATATGTTTTCATCACACCTGACATTGTGAAGCGGTGGTGAAGGTCCCACTATTGGCCCTTTTGTCATCTATGTTGTAACTTCGAATTAATTTTCATGTTTCCCTTTACTGGGCTTCTTTTTCTTTTTTTTTTTCTTTTCCTCCCCTTTTCTTTGCATTTTTTTAAAATATGACATATGGTTAATTGTGGTATAGTCATCATCAAAAGTTTGTAATGTAATCATATAAATTTTTTGCCATATGGTTAATTTTTTTTTTATGAGAATACTTCATTTTGGATGTTTTTCTAGATTCTAACTTTTCTTATTTTATTTGTAGGTGACTTCCAAAAACGATCAAGCACAAGGCTGATGCTTCAAAACCATATATATTCCTTCCTGTGTAGAATTTTTTTTGGATTTCTTCATTGATTTTCCTTTTAATTTTTGTTCAATTACTTATTGGTTTTCAATGGATGGATGTTTAAAACTTGTCTCAATTAATGTTTTGAATGGAATGATTGTAAAGTTTGGGATTGAGCAGGAAAATATGATGAATTTTAATGTTATATTTAGGTTGGGTTGAATGAATTTTGTTCAATATTGGATTGAATGTTTATAAACAAAAATTGATTGTTCTAAAAAAAAAAGAAAAAGAAAAGAGATTCGGTGACTAACTAATTAGTCGTTGATTGTTTAATGTCTTTTGGCGACAAAATATTTGGTTGAGAAAAGTTTTGGCGACTAAATAATTGGGTGCCAAATTTTACACTTTTGCGACTAAAATCATTAGTCGGCAATTCCTTACCTTTTGGCGACTAAATTATTAGTTGACGATTCCTCAACTTTTGGCAACGAAAATAGTTGGTCGCCGATTTTTTGCTTTTGGCGACAAACATATTTGGTCTGAAAAATATCACTTTTCGCGACCAAAGTGTTTTAGCGACTAAATGAATTAGTCGTGGTAATGATATATTTAGCGACTAAAAATTTAGTTGGCAAATCTAACTTTTTCACGACTAACAAAAGTTTTGGTCGCCAATTACTTTTGCTGACCCTCAATTGGCGACCAAAGTGGCGACCAAAAAAATTGGTTGCGAATGACTTTTGCTGACTAAAAATGGACTTTTGCCAACCAAATTTTTAGTCGGCAAAAGTGTAATTTTTTTGTAGTGAATATTGCCGACCAATCTTTTGGTTGGGGAATGTATTGCCAACCAAATTTTTTGGTCGCGGAATATGACAATTTGCGACCAAATTAGTTGGTCATGGAAATGGGCGACGAATGCCGACCAAACTATTTGGTCATTGAATGTGCGAATTGGCGACTAACATGTTTGGTCGGGAAAATATGACTTTTTGCGACTAAAGTGTTTTAGCTACTAAATGGATTAGTCGCAGTAATTATATATTTAGCGACCAAAAATTTAGTCGGCAAATATAACTTTTTTGCGACTAAAAAATTTTTTAGTCGCTAATTACTTTCCGCAACCCTCAATTGGCGACCAAAGTGGTGACCAAAAAAATTAGTCGCGAATAACTTTTGCCGACTAAAAATGGACTTTTGCCGACCAAATTTTTAGTCGGCAAAAGTACGAATTCTTATAGTGAATTGTGTAACGCCCAAGAAATTAATTCAAGAAGTTTCAAACTTAAGACCTAGGGTCTTAACCCTCGGGCCTTTAGCAAATGTGCTATTGCCTTGGTTCCATGTTTGGAACTGATCACTTCCTCTTTTACCTTTCCTATATGAAGTGGAAGAGCAGCGAAAGCAGATAACACTACCTACTTTTACTTAGAATTTTATTTAAAAATGTGAATTCTATAGTACACTAATTAAATTTCAATTATTCATTTCAATTCTGAGTAGTTTTGTTTAAAGCGGAGTGCCAAGTAGCTAGCACTATAAGGGTATGCTTTAAATACATAATTCATTTTGGTCTGTCCAAACCTGCTCATATCTGTCCATTTGCCACCTTTAATATCATGTAACAAAACATTAATTACTTGAATTTCATTCCAACTGGAAAATGGCTAAAGGTATGCACCATCAAAGTTCAATGCTTTCAGGCATATAAGTATGATTCATTCATTTACAAGAATCCCTATGCAATAGTGCTTTTAAATTGATTTGCAAAAAAATAAAAGAAAAGCTACCTCTTTTTTCAATTTTTTTTTGTTTTTAGTAATTTTTTTTCAAAATTATTTCAAAATTTTTTATTTTTCCAATCTGTCTTAGCGAGACGAATCTAAAAAGTATAATTTTTTTTGAAAAAATTCAAAACAAATCACTAAAGACGAAAATAAGCAAAAAAAATATTTTTGTTTATTTTGCCTGATTTTTATCTTTTCTAATTTTTTTATTTTTATTTTTATACAGTTCATCATGTCGAGCTGAATTTAAAAACTTAAAACTTTTTGAAAAATTTTAAAACAAGTTCACTAAAATCAAAAGAAAAGTAACACACAAAAAAAAAAAAAAAAAAAAAAAAAACAAAAAACCCATTCCCAAAATACGCAAAACACTTTTATAATGACTAAAATGAAAATATATTGAGATATCTGATTAGTTATTCAATAAAAGATAACAACAAATGTACCATAGCCACCAGCAATCTCCACCAAGATAACAAGAGGCAAAATTTTTCTTTTTGAAAATTCGAAAGTGATTGTTATATTTGTGCCAACACAACCAACCACGTCAAGCAATGAAAATAAGCGGTAAGATAAGCCACGATATAAAGCGTTTCTCCACAATATTCAAACTGGGGTATTCAGATTGAATGGCATTAAATTAATTCTTGTTCGAAATACCTAAATTTCTGCTGTAAATGCTTCCTAATACCACAATTAAATCATTTAATACTCTTCAAACAATATTCAATTTCATTTACTGATTATTTCTTATTATTTTTGAAACACCATTTGGATTTTAGTCCTACAACATTAAATAATTTCTCTCATCCAACTCTCCGAAACATTTTATAAAAATAAATAAAAATTCAAGTGGATGTCATGCTGGCCAGTTATTTTCTGTTAAAAAATTTTAGATTCTCACATCTCTTAATTAGCTTATAATTTATAATTATTAGATTATGTAATGATTCACCAAATTATTTTATAAGATAATTTTATACAATTTTTTTATTTATATAATATTACATGTCACACTCCAAATCGGGAAATTATTTAATATTTTCGGAGTATCATGTATTCGTACTTCATAACCAATCGTCATTTAATATGTCTGCTCATGTTTCCAAATCACCAAACACAATACTCCATTTATCCACTTTCTCCACCAATCACAATATTATGAAATGTCACGTATCTATATTTCAAGATTATTGAATAATTATCCTTCCACTACAACAAAAAGCACAAATGGCGACTAAAATGGAATTAGTAGCAAAAAGTGAAGACTTTTGGCGACTAAAACAGTTTAGTAGCCAAATGTACAGTTATTGGCAACTAAAAATCAGTTTAGTCGCCGATTATATGGGTTTTAGCGACTAAAAAAATTTTAGTAGCCAAAAGTCAAGGTTTTTGGCGACTAAAAACATTTAGTAGCCAAAAGCATAGGTTTTGGCGACTAAAAAATAGTTTGGTCGCCGATTATACGTGTTTTACCGACAAAAAAAATTTCGTAGCCAAAAGTGAAGCTTTTTGGCTACTAAAAAATATTTAGTAGCTAAAAGTCAACAATTGGCGACTAAAATTCAGTTTAGTCGCCCAAAGTGGAGGTTTTAGGCAGGAATTAATTCTTTTAGCGACAAAAAAGTAATTAGTAGCCAAAAAGTATAGAATTGGCGACTAAAAAACAGCTTTAGTCGCCAAAAGTGGTCTCCTATTTTTTTTAGTAAATAATTTATTTTTTACATAAATTATGTTAAATAAAAATAATTATTTATATATATATAGTTTTGTATTAATACCGGTCAATATACTGTATAAATAATATATGTTGCATTTATATTTATGTGATGTTGTAGTGGCATAGTGGGCAGAGTGTGTTGCTAAAAGTTTAGAATGTGGGAGGTCAGTGGTTCGAAACTTGGGAACAACAGAGGGTGATTTTTTTTTTTTCTGAAATATGCTTTTCGGGACTAAAATGTGTGGTCGCCAAAAGCTTGACTATTGGCGACGAAAAAAATAGTCGGCAAATGTATAAATAATAAAAAAAATAATTCACTATTGGCGACCAAAAGATTAGTCGCTAAATGTATAATTTTCAAAAATGTAATTGACTATAAGCGACAAAAGCTTTGGTCGCTAAAGACCTATTTTTTGCCGACTAAAACTTTTTTAGTCGCCAGTACCTCCGGCGACCATGTATTCGCGACAAAACCGGCGACTAAAATATTTAGTCGGGAAAAGTGAAAAGTCAACTTTTAGCGACTAAAAATAGACTTTTGGTGATTAAAAATTTAATCGTCATAGGTACTTTTTCTTGTAGTGTTTCGAATCTAGAAGCATGACCGGCCGTGATCTGTGGGCCTTAGTCATAGAACACGTAAGCCTTGCATGCTCATTGAAAAAAAAAAAAAAAAAGTTTAGAATAAAAATCAATATTAAATTTATATAATTCTTTACTCAAGGATCAAAAAAGTCCTTTAATATCAATCATAACCAAATGAAATACTATAACACGTGAACATGAGATCCAATACTTAAATGATAAAATTTTATCACGCATGAATAATGATTACATTTTGAATGATGCATGAACATCTAAGGAGATCGAAACGCAGTTAATTTCCAAATCGTCAAAGGCCTCTACTAATATTTCAACCATAGACTTAAAAAATATTAATGATTGGAATGAGTAAAAACTCAAATATAGTTCTAAAATGAAGAATAAAATAAGTGATACTATAAACATTATAAGTAATATTTTTTTACCAGCGAAAATAAGTTTTATTGATAAAGAATAATATATATTACATATGAGATTATATCAATTAAAAAAAAAAAGGAAGTGCAAAAAATATCGAAGCAAAATAACGTGATCCTAACTAAGTTGGCATTGAGAAGAATACCTAATTATTTGGTAGCACAATCACCAAGGGTTGATGAGAAATCAACAACAGCAAAAGTAAGAACAACAAGAGCAAAATAAAAACAAACAATGCAAACAATAATATGCTCCAGACCTCACAACCCCCCCCTCCCAAATTTGTGAGAGAGCAGGAAGAGAGGAGAGGGGAGGAGGGAAATGAGTGGTCACAAATCAATTGAGGATTCTTGGGGGTCACCAAAAATAGGGTCTAAAGCATTTTTGTAATAATACATTTATTGGAAATTCTATAGTATATGCACCCTAGCTATGATGGGGACCCCCACGACCCCCGCATCCCCACACACATTTGTGGGAGAGAGCGAGGAGAGAGAGAGAGAGAGAGAGAGGGGAAAACAAAATAAATAAATAATGAGTGGTCATAAATCAATTAAAGATTATGGGGGTCACAAATTTTAGGGGTCCCAAGTATTATTCATATGCACCATCTCACAAATTAACGTAATTCTATTAAAAAATTTTGTAATATTAATTACAAAATTTTATAATATATGTAATTTCAACACAAAT